AAAACTTTTAGTAAACATAATCGAATGTAAAAAATTTGGGTTTGGGTTTTTAGGGGCCCGGAATGGTTTTGGGGAAAATGCATCTCAAATTTTTTTTTTAAAAATGAGAACTTTGAATTTGTTTCATGATTTTTTTTTTTCAGAAAACTTTGGGAAATTTGGGGTAAACCCAAAAAAACGTCTAATTTTATATGTTTTGCTAAAAAAAAAGTAAAAAATTGGTTTAAAATTTTTTTGATCCAAACTTGTATAATACAATGATTTTTTTGATCAGCCAGGGTCTGAAAATTCTGGGGAATGAAAATTAAAAAGTATTTATCAGTTTCAGCCCTTTAAAATTTTTCAAAAAAGATATTTTTTAAACCCCAAGCAAAAGTACCCAATTGTTTGTTATTTTTGGGGACCTTGGGAAATAACTCCGATATTTTTCAAAAAAAAAATAGAATTATTTACTTCTGGGAAGCTTTTAATAGTAAAATAATTTAAAATTTAAAAGTTCATTTTAAAAACTGCACACTCTGGGTTTTTGTTTTATGGGTTTTAAAAAAATCAGGGTTTTTTATTCGAAAAATTTTCTTCAACATTGGGGAACTTTTCTTCCCGCTTTGTTTAAAATTTTTAATTGGGATGAAACAAAAAAATGAAAAATTAAAAAGGGAAGGTCGCTAAAAAATAAAAGGAAAATTTTCGGGTTTTTGACTTTATGTAATTTAAGCCAACTGGATTTACAATTTTACTATCCTTTTTTTTGTTCACATTTTGGGAATAGTAAAACGTAGTTTATTGAACCGTAATTATAGAATCCCTTTAAGTTTTAAAAAGAGCTTTTGAATAGGACATCAAATCAAAATTAAAAAAATTTGCCTTTTTTTTGTAAAAAAAAAATTTCCAAAATTGGGAAAAAATAAGGGGAATGCTGAAAAGTTACTAGGAAAAAATTGGGTTTAAAGAAGCATTAATATTTGGTTTTTTTAGAACAAACTCAATCTGTTTTTATGGGTTTTCAATGTTATTGTCGCTCATTCTCATGTTTTTTATGTATGTTTTTTTATTATTTTTTTGTGTTTTTGGTTGTTAAATTTCACAATTTTTTTTTTATGTCACATATTCTTATGCCCCTACGTTTTGACTAAACTCAAATTTTCGCATTTGGGTTTCTTTTCCCCGACCCGGAAAATAAAAAAAACAAAAAAACTACAATAAGGGATCACCTTCCCTGGGTCCCAAACAATATGAGACTGACCCGAAAAAAAAAAAAAACGGGTTTTTAAAAAAATTTAAAAAAAAAAGGACCTTTTTCGATATTTAAAAAAAATTTTTTCCCGATATAAAAAATTCTAGTTTCGGGGAAAAAGGGTTTTTGGGTTTATAACCAGTATTTTCGAAAAATTTTCCCAAAAATTTGAGTTTTAAATTGAGCCAAAAAAGGGGAACAAACCCATTCTTTAAAAACGGGACTTATTATTTTAAAATTTAAAACAAGAAAATTTGCTGTTCCCCCCCCTTAAAGTTTCAAAAAAATTTTAGGGCAGTTTTTTTGCCCCAAAAATTTCCCCAATCCCTTGCGTCCCTTTAAAAAATAAACCCTTTAGAAGGGGCAAAACTGTCCCTTCTATGCCAGATATTTCCAAAAAGGAGCAAAAAGGGGTTGGGGAAACTGCAATAACCCAAAACCCCCCTAAAGGAAAAAATATAACCCAAAACCCCCCCAAAATTTTCTTTAAACGTTCTCCCAAAACCTAGGGGGTTTTTTGCCAAAAAACCAAACCCAAAAGGTTCTTGCCCTTTCCCAAATTTTGGAAAAGGAAACTTCTAGAAAGGCTTGGTTAAAACCCTGCCAATTATAGGGCCCCTTTTTTTTAATATATGTAAATTTTTTGAAACACATAATTTCCCTTTTTATCATGAAAAAATTTGACCCGCCACAAAAATATTTTCCCCTTTCGACATGGGGTTTTAGGGGAAAAAATCAAATTTTGCAATTGTTTTTTTTGTAAATGACCAGGGGCACCACAGTTTTATGAGAAAATGCAAGTAGATCTGATAAAGTTATTGGGGAAAGAAAATTTCTTTAAAAAGAAATTTGGGAAACAAAAAGATTTAAAAATTTAAGATGTGTTTAAAAATTTTTTAGATAACAGACAGTTGGGTTTAAAGGGCCCCCTAAAACCCCATTTGCAGATCCCCATTTCGCCCAAAAGGTAAATTTTTGGACCCTTTTGTTTCTTTCATTTAAAAGAACCCCCCCACAAAAAATAAATTTCCCCAAAACGCTTGTTTCAGACGATTTGCAATAAAACATTGCTTTGGGCATCTGCATACCCAAACAAGGGAACCCCCAAAAATACCTAAATCGGGAAAAAAAAAGGGGAGTTGGGGTGGGGTATGGGAATTTTCCCCTCCATGTGTAAATTATCCACCCTCACAAAAAGGAACACACCCCCCGTCCCAAAAACAATTTCTACCTTCATGGAGTCCAATTCGAATCGGGGTTTCCCCAGGTAAATACCCCGGGGTTGATATATCAAAAAAAAAACCCTTTCACGGGGGTGTAAAAAGGGAAATTTTAAAAAAACAAATCCCCAAAATTTTAAAGGAACTACGCAAAAATCATAAAGATTAAACCCCATCCCCTTATCTCCCCTTTTTTACCCCACGAAATCCCGACCCAAACTTGAATATGGTTCTAAAATATTTTTCTACCCCACACCAAAATAAAAAAAACATGTATATTAAAATTTTTTAAAAAATTAAAAAAGAAAAAACAGCTCGATGGATAAGCTAATTATTGTCTATTAAAAATTTTTACTTTTTTTTCTAGGACTTAACCCATTTGAACTACCCCACCCCCTGATTGCCCCTTTCTCCCCACCTAGGAGAAGTCCAGTGCAGCCATAAACTGCAATTAAAAATGTCCCACCTAGTTTTCCGAACCCCCCCTTTTTTGATGTTCATGCAACGGGTTTTTTATTCCATTATTAAAATGGGGAATGGAAAAAAAAAAAAGGGGTGGTAAATTTCCCCGTAAAACAACGCTCCTAGTTCTGACTGAGAAATGTTTTTAATCCTGAAAAAATGATAACTACATGTGTTCTTCTAGAATCGGCTACCCTTTATTTATATTCCTTTATGGGTATTTCAAATTTTTTTATGCAAAAAACTTTTTTATTTTTAAAAGGGGACTACCCCTTAAAATTTAAAGAAACATGGTATTAAAGGAAAAAAGAAATCCCTCAGTGGGAATTATAAAAAAACTCACACTAAAAATTCTGCCCCCACAAACCCCGGAATTGCCCCCGTCCCGTATGCTTTTAACCAAATTTCACCACATCACCTTCTGCCGGGAAAATATAAGTTCCCCAAGTAAGTTTTTAAATTCCATGTTCTTTCATTTTGATTCCGATCTAACCCTTAAAGGGGACAATTAAAAGCTAACCATTAGCGCCGGTGTATTTTCAATAAAGAGTGTTTTAATGAACAAAATAAAAAAATTAGTTTAAAAAAATTACAAAGATGAAAGGCCGGAAAAAATTAAAACGGAATTTTTAAATAACCATTTTTAAAATCATTCATTTACTATAAGAGAATGGGAAATTTTTTTATTTTCCCGTTAAATTTTATTTTTGACCCTTTTTTATTAAAACCAAAAACCCTCAGGGTGAATTAGTCAAACCAAAAAAAGGGAATTTCAAAAAAATAATTTCAATTTATTTAAGAGGTTTGCAAACACCCTAAAAAAACGATTTAAATTTAAATACAAATTACCCAAAATTGGGAAAATTTTGTATCGTGTTATGCAGGACTTTCACATAAACCCCTTTTCAACATCAATTGGGAAAGTAAAGTTATTTTAAACAAAATAGAAAGATCTTTTTCATTTAAAAAAACACAGAATTTAATAGGAACAAAACCGCCTTTAAAAAAATGTTATGAATATATAAACGGGGAAAAAAAATTAAAAAAAGGGAAACCCTTAAAAAAAAATTAAAAAGCAATACAGAACTAAACAAGCTAAACCCAAAAAAGAACAAAAAAGGGCGGGGGGGGAGTGGCCAAAAATTTTAAAAAAACAAAACCCACTTAAAAACGTGTCTTTGGGCAAAAAAATGTAATTTTAAAAGGCGCCAAAAAACCCCCTTAAAAAACAGTTTTGGCCCTAAAAATTTCAAAAATGCCCTTGACCTAACTGATGAAATTTAAACCCAATTTAAAAAGGGTTTTTTATTAATATTTCAACCCCCTGGAAAAGGAGTAATTTGTACAAAAAAAGACCCCCTGACCTATTTTAAAAAACAACCCAAAGAGGGAAAAGGCCCGTTTTTCCAAATTAAAAGATTTTGTAAACAAAAAAACTTCAAATGAGAAAGGGCACTCCCATCTATAACAAACCAAAAAAAATCCCCCTAAATTTTTTTAATCATGTTTTAAATTTTTTCTTCCCAAACCAAAAAATCGATTTAAACTTATTTTTAAAAAAGAAATTTTTCATAACAAATTCTCAAATTTTAAATTAATATATAAGGGTATCGTCTATGATTTAAAATTTTCGTTTTGCATTAAAAATAATTTGAAGGAAAATTTAGTGTTTTAACCTGTTGCCCAATGTTTAAAAAATATGGCGGAACCATTTACCCCAAAAAAATTTTTTTTGCAAAAAATTTTGGTTGAAAAATAAAAAACCCTTAAAAAGGGTGTGGGACGTTTTTAAACGAAGGTTTTAAATTTTTTGCTCACGGGAAAACCAGTTAAAAGACTGGAAAGGACATTTAAAGAAACTTGCAAAGAATTTAAAAAAACCAGGCAATTACGAAGAACAAAAAGGTATTTAATTTGGGATTGGTGTACGTAAGGGGAAAAAAATGCGGGATCGGCGAAGGGAAAAAGGGTAATATAGCCCGGGAAACAGCGAGGAAAAAATTTTAAAAATAAATAAAAATTGATGAAAACCCAAATTTGGGAATGGGAGTTGGTTTAAATAAAAAGGTCATGGTTTTTAGAGTCTGATTCTAATGATTTGGTACCGTTTGACAATAGGCCATTTAGATACGAAGAATTTACAAGCATGCCTTCAAACACTTTTGAAATTGACATCGCCAAATTCGCCGTTAATACGTTAAACGAGAAAGGATTCTGTGTAATAGATGGTTTGTTTACAAAAAGTCAGATCAGAAATGCTTTAAAAGATATAAAAATTTGCGCAGACGATGAGAAATTTAGCAGCGGAAAAGTGGGTGGTGGCAGGACAAGTAGAGAGCAAGAAAAACAAGAAGTGATAGCCGATATTAGAAGTGATAAAATTATGTGGCTGGAGGGAACAGAAACAGATCTACAAGGCATAACATCAATCGTATCAAAGATGGATTCCATCTTATGGGAATTTAATAAGTTTTTAAACCAAACATATTTTATAAATGGACGCTCTAAAGTGAGTAAATATTTGATCTTTTGAGCAATTTTGTTCTAAAATATCAATGTTTTACAAAAGATAGAACGTGCCTACTAGTTTAATACAGTCTAATAATTGTAGATATTAAAAAAAAAGAAATTATACAGTACACTGATTCAAACAATTTTCATTGAAAAATGGATATTTTTTGTATAGTTACTCGTATGTGTAATGTAAATTGATTACAGATGATTTCTTATGATGCTATACTTGTAAATTCGGTAATCATTTAAAGTGAAAATTCTCACTGTGTAGAAACGGAATCACTACTGTACATCATTTACTGCGAGCTATATACACTGAAATGTGTATGGCCTTATTGGCCTAATAAGTTATTGTGATTATCATTACAAGCACCCTTTACATCCTGTCACTGTATCATGTATTGCAAGTTTTATACAATAAAACTTGTATCGTTTTTGCGATCACATGCAGTAGATATGTTTCTACACAGTATTTCAGAGTTATTTAAACTGCTCACAAACATGATGTTTCATGTGTTAGTATTTTTTCATTAAAGGCCATGGTCGCCTGTTACCCAGGTAACGGATCTTATTACAGGCGTCATGTGGACAACCCACATGGGGATGGTAGAGTTGTCACGTGTATTTTATATTTGAACGAAGGTTGGAACATCCAGGTATATCTTATATATACAGATGTTGAGTATAGTGTAGTAACTAAACTAGTTTAGAACAAATTAATGGTGTTTGTATTACCCTTTATGTGTCCTGACATTCTTTTAACTGTATTATCAACCTCTGTGCTATAGGTATTTAGATAAATATATACAATCTTTTGTATAAGCAGAGCTGTTTTGGCACCTATTTCAAACATTGATAGCACAGACTCGGCGTTACTTTTGCACGATTCGTGCGTGTTTAAAAAAAAATTTAAATTCCTGCGTCACTGGATATTGCATGTATGCATGGTATTCATGCAATATATCAACAAAAGTAAAAGGCAACATCTTATTTTGGTTGTCAGCTCCGAACAGAACATGTCAACAAAAACGAAGTCGTATCCTTGTTTTTGCTTAATATGCGTTTCCATCTGAAAACATGAATATTTTACCTTCTATCGACATAGAGGCGGATGAAATTTGTGTCCGTTAGATATTTTTTTCTTAATGAATGAATTTTGACAAGTTAACAGTGATCAAGCATACTTTATCTAATTTGACAAGAAATATGTTTGCGACATTCTTTCATGTGAGGAAGCTTTCCAGATAGCTAACGGAACGACGGTGGTTCGTTCGTGCCTGAAATAATGCACGGATGGGCATCTGAGGTCTTCCTTCACCAGTAAAGCTGGAACGTCGCCATATGACCTTTACTGTGTCGGTGTTAAGTAAAACCCAAACAAACAAACAAACAAACAAACAAACAAACAAACAAACAAACAAACAAACAAAACGACATCTTTTGTGAAAATTTACTTTTTATTTGTTTAAGCCATCCAAGTTCTCGGTGTCATTAATTAACTTTCATTAGAACGATATCACACTTTTATTCAAATGTTGTTTACTCACTTTAAATGTCTCTTACTAATTTTAACCTTATAGTTTAATACATTGTGCTAGTATAACTGATGTTTCATTAATTTATCACTCGCAAATTTACTCAGGGTAGTTCCGCATTGGATAAAATTACACCAAAATATTACTTTAAAAATACTGAAATTTTTTATAAAATGAAACCTTTTTTTTAGTGCTTTATTGGTATTAATTGATGTGTATTGATATATTACAGGAGGATGGTGGATTACTTCGGATACTTCCGGCAGATTCCGACAACTACATCGATATTGCTCCATTAGCAAATCGCTTACTTTTCTTCTGGTGTGATCGGAGGAATCCCCATGAAGTTCATCCTGCATACAAAACAAGGTCAGGTTTTGAGCATTTTAAAAGATAAGAAACTCCTTACTAAGGTAACATATTAATGATCTGGGGAAGTAACCATTGCAGATAGTTTAAATAAATAAATGTTCACATGTGTAACACAAACTTTAAGATTTTTTTTTGGGTAATTTTGACGAAACAAAAACAAAGAAATGTTTAAAATTTGACATGATGTGTGATCTTAGGAGTTTTAAAGAAGTATAAATCCTACCATAGGTATGCGATAACGGTGTGGTACATGGACGAAGAGGAAAGAAAAAGGGCAAAACAGGAATGCTTAGATGGAGGTAACTACTTATTAAATGCACATGAAATTTATAATTTATTTTAGAATTATGTTAAATTTATTTCCAACACGTGTTAAAAGCAATGAAATTCCTCGTGTGTTGAGCGTAATCAGAACCATAAGCAAGTTGCGTTCATGAATCATTTATAGACATACATGTACATCGAATAACTCTTTTAAGTTACAAACTGTTGAAGGTGATAAACTAAATTCTTACATTTTGTATAATTTTACAGTTGCCACAGTTACAGGCGAGTCGGTACTGAAAGAATGCCAACAGAAACAAAAAGAAAGGGTACATATCACCGTTTACACTTTAACATTGGTGTATTTTCTTTAGATTACTCGTTGAAGAGGTGAGGAAGATAAAAATAAAGAATACCTAAAGAACGCACAAAACGACAAAATTGCAAACGTCAAAATAATGAGCATATGGCGAGATATATTTTGTTCTTAAGTTTTTCCATTTTAATGTTGTTTGGGAAATGAAACCAAATTAATGCTTTCTGATTATTCTAAAAAAAATGACAGGAAAAGTCTTTTAAGATATGTCTAAGATCAAGTTTGAATTTGAATGCATATACTTTTCACAACTGATTTGTAAAATATGTAAATATAGAAGATAAATCATTTATTTCTAGGATGAAGTTAATCAAAAGATGAATGATGTTGCTACAGACGCTATTGCCTCGCTTTCGTTAGACGAACTCCAGGTGCCAGTATCAATCAAGACTAATACATTCTATAAACTTTTCTTTGAAATGTTTGATATAGCTATGTTATTTGATTTTTTTTACCTTTTCTGTACATAACTGTGCAGTTTTAAATGTCAATTAATTACATAGTTAAATAGAATGTAATAAACAATAGTGAGAGAAATTTAAGACGTTTTAAAATTGAGATTTGAGATCTTGAATGTTTTCATGATATATATTAATCGTATCTTACAGGCTATATCGTCTTTAATTTCCGGTCAGTCAAATGCTGATGACATTCTAGCTGGGATGGGCATATCTCCAGAAATAAGGACAAAGTTACTGAAGAAACTACATAACCTGGGAGCAGAATCTTAGCGTTTACCAGCATTTAGATATGTGAATGTGAAACTGTTATACTGATGACTTACATGCCTGCAGAATACAAGTTATAACTACATATAAACTAAAGGTTCTGTTAAAAATATCCCTTTATATGTATGTTATGTAAAACTGTTTTACTTGTTTTATGTGTATTTATATTTTGTTGATTTCTGATACATTCATGCCTTTAGGTCAAATAAAACTCTAATGTTTTAAAATGACACAGGTGATCTTTCAAAAATTAATGAGCCATGTCATGACAAAACCAACATAATGCGTTTGCGACCAGCATGGATCCAGACCAGCCTGCGCATCCGCGCAGTCTGATCAGGATCCATGCTGTTCACTTACAAACCGTATAACAAGTGGAGGAACTGATAGGGAACAGCATGGATCCTGATCAGACTGTGCGGAGGAGCAGGCTGGTCTGGATGCGTGTTGGTCGCAAAGGCATTATGTTGGTTTTGTCATGACGCGGCTCAATTATTCATTTGTCATTACAGGGTCATTACTCTCAAACCTACACTACACAGCATTATATATTATTATATAGGTTAATCGGAACTAGCAACAATTAACGAACGGTATATATATATAATTATAGATTTGTAAAATAGAACAGCTTCTTTTAGTTTATTCAATTACTGGTATTTAAGTAAATCCATATATAAAGTTAAACAGATTTTTAAAGGTTTATGTGTATTTGAATAAAAATAAATAGAGGATATTTGTTGGTTTTGCATGTAAGATTGAAATATAATTTCACTGAGTGAACACCAGATGCAATATTTTCACGAGTGGCGTAGCCACGAGTGAAAATATAATAGCTGATGTTCACGAATGAAATCTATATAAATCTTATATGTAAAACAAATAAATTTTCTTTTTATTTCATGCGTTTTAAGTAATTTAAGTAATTTTTATTGATTTTGCCGCGTAACGTCGCGCATTCTCCTTTGTGACGTCATTACATTTTGACGTCACATCAACAAGTTTGAAATATAGTTCTGTTAAATTTCTCTAATGTTGTTACATTTTTAACATAATGTATGGTGACATCGACCTTCTTTTCCGAAAGAAGTAAAATTTACGCATGACGGCATTGATTTTTGCCTGTTATTCCATTCAGTTTTGATTTTCTTTTCATCCGCATTCAGATATAGTCCGGCTACAGTGAAAATTATATTTTATAAATTTCACTAGTGGTTTATCAGAATATAATCATCTGATATATTACAATAAAACACTGGAAAGCATGAAATAAAAGAAAATTGTTTTTACATCGACCATATTTAATTGTTATAACTTTTAGTGAGAACTGAAATATACTTGTATTTCATTATAAAAAGGCTTCCATGTGATATTTAAAGTACATTTCAGCTCCAGGAACAATTATTAATGAGAAGATTGACAACAAGTGTTACATTACATCGGACTTATTTGGTTTTTGTTTGATTAAAATATTATACATGGAGTGTGGCTTTATATTGTACTTGAATGGTTTTTTTTTGAATTTTAGTTTCGTATATGGAATATGTAAACGTTTAAATGATACAAACGTCATGTGCTTATAACTCAAATGATATCAGTCGTCATAGCAACCAGTTGAATGTGTCATGGTCAATTCCACCTTTCTCTAAATAATGTATGCAAAAGACCAGTTGAAAAGTCTCTTTGATAAAGTCAGAAATAAGATCAGTTTCAACTTTGTTTATTAAGTGACCCTAGTTTAGGTCGGGACCATAATTGACCTCAGGGGCATGACATATAAAATAGAGAAACAATTCTTTAAAGATCATCCAAAACGGCGGAATTAAAAGAAATGCAGGCCCGGTTTGATTGAGCCTGTTCATGGACGGTATTGGAAAGTGCAAACTCCCTAACACCGACTAAAGCAGAATTCAACATTAACATGAAATTGTGAAATTTTGATTTTTGAAATATTGAAAGATGCGTTCATACGATGGTTATCATGGAGACTTCATGACACGGAGTTGGTATTCCATGAAAAGTGGCGTATTGTCGTCATGTTTTAGATTGCGTGAGACTTAAACCAGAAAAAAAAACAATGGGCGAAACTAAATAAAATGGAATTTTGAAAGGGGAACAAATGTTATAAAATTTTAGTAGATGTCCTCTTGGCAATGCTACATGCCGAATATCTGAGTAAACCCCCGGGGAATAGTTTATTTTGACCCTAGGAGTATGATATATATATAATGTTTTATATATAATTTTTGTAGAAGATTACAGGGTGATGCTACATGAAAAAAATCTAAAGTCTTGGCGTAGCAGTTTCTGAGAAAAAAGGTTTTAACGATATTTTATCTATAACAGGCTATGTATAGAAAGTGACCCCAATTAAGGTATGACCATCCAAATGCCTTTTTTCCGCTTTGAAGAATATTTAGATAGTCTACAATTAATGTCAATTGCAACTGTCGTAGGTTCAAACACGAGTAGGGCCAACTTTTTCCTCCTTTTTTTCTTTTATATAATTATACATCATTTAAAAGAAAGAAGAAGTGTTTATTTTAATAACATATTCTAATAAAAATTAAAAATGCATATTAAAATGTTTTCAAATTTGACAAGATTAACCAGTATTTTAGACAAACTTTGATAAAAGCGCCTCACTTGGGTTAAATTTAAATTTAGGGATATTTTGAATGAAACTTTTTAAGCAGGAAAAATGATCAAAAGGTGTTTAAAATGGGTAGTTTATGGTAACAATTTGATACTTGTTTTCCAAATATTTTGAGACAGTCATTTTGCTTTAGTCATTTGTTAGTTGAATGCTATTTTGTTCCTTAATAATTATCAATAGAGAAACATTTTTCATAAGAATGATTTTATAAATTATTTAGATTTTTCTTATTTCTTAAAAAAATCCAAACCCCTTCTAATATCCAAGCTTTTATTCAGAAAAATATCAATAACTGGTAAATTGTACAGTAAATTTTACTTGCAGACTTCCTTTAACGCTTTAACTGACTTATGTTGTCAATTTTTCACTTCCTCATATTGCTCATTAGGGTGATCATACCTTGAAAGGTGTGGTCATTATTTACCCTAGAGGTTTAACTTACATAACGTTTTTTTTGTAAAGGTCCATTAGGTGTTGCTTAAACATGTCTATATAAACTAAGTGACCCAAAGGGCATTACCAATCTTGACCCAAAAGGCATGATTTACAGAGCCACAACGTGATTCTACATAATTATGTACATGCAAAATTTCTAAATTTTTGGTAATATGCGTTCAGGGAAATAGATTTAAAGACATTTTAACTTTACCAGTCTATGTAAACTAAGTGAACCTAATGGTTTGGGGCCATTTTTGACCACTGGGGCTTGATTTCAGTAACTTTTGAAGAAGTCCACAATACAATGCCACCTGCAAAATATCTAAGCTCTTGGCATTGTAGTTTCAAAGAAAGACAAAAAATTCCCATGGCCAGCCCCCCCCCAATTTTGAACCTAGGGGCATGATTTTCATAATTTTTGTAGAGGAAACAGGTATTCTATATCAATAAAAATTATTTAACTTCGGCATTTTTTTCTTTTTAAAAGGGAAAGATTTAAAGACAGCTACTTTTAAGTCTATTAAAAAAGTGAATAATGGGGCAAAAGGGGGATTTTATATTATTTTTTATCCTTTTTTAGATGTCCAAAGAAAAGTTGATCCGACTGTCTAAGACGGACATTTCGTTTCACGAAAGAAGTCTAAAATGAATTTATACAAATGTATGTTAACGAAGTGATCCACTGCCCGGGAAAATTTTTAACAAAATAGACATGGTTCATATATTATAGTAGAGGACAATATAGTGATGCTAGGTATCTAAGCTCTAGGCATTGTGGTTTCTGACGAGAAGTTTCGAAGATAGTTTTACTACACGAAAAAAAAAAAAAAAAATCAAGTGACCCCGGGGCGGGACCGATTTTGACCTAAGGGGAGTGATTTTGATAATTTTATATAACTTTTGTACCTAGGTACTGATACATGCCAAATATTTAAGCTCTGAGCATTGCAGTTTCACCAAAGCAGTCTTGCGGAATCAACAATTAAATACCCATGTTTTTTAATTCTTCCGATGAAATCTACATTTCGTTTCAATATATTTTCGTATTATATTGGTTTATAAAAGGTCAATTAAATCATATCAGTTACATTCACTGCCTTTGTCACTTTTATCAAAGTACATATTTGCTTTTAATATTCAATTAAGTATGCCACGACGAGGCAAAACGGTGTTATAACACAGAATATTGTGGTAATGTGAGACATAATACAGTGTAAACATTAACTTACATGTCCGGTTATTTCCTGAGTTTTGACGATAAATGATAAATTTTATTAATTGCTGTTGTTTTGTTTTTTTTTTTGCAAGATGAGAGCATTGCCGATGATCATTACCTAACGGAAACAACATAAGTTATGTTCAGTTCTGCTAACACGCTATATTCCAACTTTACAAACATTTTGCTCCCTGCGAGCGGACACGATTTCGGTTTACTTAGCACCGCAAAGGGTTTGATATCAATCTGCACCCGACGGCATTTCTTTTTCCGTTAAAAGACTATCACTTCAAATATAATCATTTCGTGCTCTTCATATATTATACATGATATGAATTATATACTTCTGAAATTTCAACAAAATTATAATCCATACAATATACCGTGTCAAAATGTCCATCAGACCATTATATGCATCATGTAAAAATAATTAAGGTGTTGCTGCCGAAATAAATGACCATATCTTTCCGATGAGCTCTTCGTTATTCTCTCATGTTGTGTTAGTAAATTATGAGTTAATCAAAGTATGTCACTTGATTCAGATAACTAAATGTTACCCATTAACTGACTTTTTCCGTCCTATCGTTCAATCATTTGTCAATATTTGTATATCTAAAGTATGCTATCAGGAGGCAAAACTGGTGTTCTTAAACCATTATCGCGGTAATTCGAGCCAGAAAATAATCTGCAACTTTCAGTTATTATGTTGGGTTATTTCCGTATTCATGAAGAGACTATAGACGGTACAGTTACAAAAATACAATTACCGTGGAAAGTCGGTTAATCAGTTTCTCTCATAGATAAAATAATATCATGACCTAATTTTCGTCTCCCGCCTCGTTTCGTCGGGATCTTAATTGTGCTACTTTGCCTTCCTTTAAGGCATTGAGTACTTTTGTTATTGTGTCAGTGTGTTTGTTTTGTTTACCCTCGCCACCAGATTGAACCATATGTTATACAATACAATACAATACAATACAATACAATACAATACAATACAATACAATACAATGCAATGCAATGCAATGCAATACAATACAATACAATACAATACAATGCAATACCATTTATATACACTACAATATAATATTTTTGAAAATCATTCATTTTTTCCAACTGAATTCAGATAGAATATTCAAACAGAGCATGAAACATCGTTTTTCTTAGTCAAATATGTAGAAAAAATAGTTAAGTTCCCCAAACAGTCGTTAACAACATATAGACTGATTGTTGTATCATACATGCAAATGCTTTAGTGCTTTGTTTTAATTGTATTTTTACACGCCGTTGAAAACAATAATGTAAAAATTTAACAGATTATTCACGCAATTTACTTATTTAGCGCTTTAATTTCATTCTACACATATGTTACACAACAAAACGGCACAACAAGATTTTTAAATCCTTTAAAAATTTTTAAAAGTTGAAATTTCCTCGGATCCCTTTTTAAAAAAAAGCTGAAAGAAAGTTGTTTAAAAAAAAAATCAATATTAGTCGACAAAGTAGGTTTTTTGTCGAAGAATTTTTTAAAAATGTGCAGTAATATTTTCATAAATTTATAATATAATTTGTACATCAAAAATAAAGGGGCAAATAGTGTGGCAAGATTTTGGTAGATTTTAAAAAAAATTTTTTCAAATCGTTGTGATAATTTTTTATTTGAAAAGGAAAAGGGAAACATTCTTTTTTGTAACATACCACCACATGTAGGTTCAACAACCTTTAAAAATCAAATTGTAAATATTTGGAGTTTGATATGCAAGAGACAAAATAAAATAATGTAAATAGACATAATTAAAACCTTGAACAGATGAAATGTTTTAGGCTCGATTTGAATGAGTCTAGTTCATGAACGTTTTCCCATATGCAAACTTCCGTTTAAGTTCCCAAGCACCGGCTATAGCCAGAACATTTATATATGAACTTGGCTTTAATTTATTAGCATGACTATTCGATAAGAATAAGTATAGCTATTGTAGTCACCCGAGCGTCGGCGTAACCACTTATGTTAAAGTTTTTGTAATACCTCAAATATTTTCAAAGTCCATTGACATATGGCTTTGAAACTTTGCACACTTGTTCACCATCATAACCCCAACCTGTAGACAGGAGGAGGTAACTGTATCAAGCATTTTGACAGAATTATGCCCCTTTTTCGACTTAGAATTTACGT